GTGTCCTCTGGCATAGTATTCGTGATTTCAAGCATCTAACCATTTGCTGGATGCATTACAAAACGTTTCGCTGGCATTGTCAGTGAGAGGCGCCAGCATAAGCACAGAGTTACAACTTATCAAAGTGACAAATAATGTGGGAATAGGCCACTACAATAGTCTCCCTCAAGAGTCTAGCCCTGTCATGGTAGGCTCGAAACAAAAAAAGATTTGATCATGAAGATGGAGAACTGGCCGAACTTTTATCTTCGTGGATGCATAAAAGGAACGGAGTGGCGTACGAGGCCCATCTATACCGAGGCGCGTGAAGGTGCACACATTTGACATCCAGGAAGATAGATGCTTAGTTTACGATCAGGGGCTATAAAAAATGAGGCTTCATGTTGTAGAGATAAGAGTCAGAACTGTCCATGAGCTGTTACCGAGATTGGCCGCTGATCTGAGCCAGTAATAACAGTGGCTTGTTCTGTTTACTGGGAATACAATCAATTATTAGGTTAATGACTTGAGGTTTAGGCTGTCATTAAGGATTCGGCTGTCGGGATCACGTCGGGATCACCAGTGTCGTGTTCCAAAAAAGGACGTTTCTGTCACTATAATATAAAACGCTTGCCCTCTACAACTCCAAAGATGGAGGCCCTGAAACAAAAAGAGGAAAGTAACAAATAGTATTAACGGCTGAATACAGTATGGTGGGGCTGAAAATAGAAAGACAATCATTTAAAGATGGTGCAAAATAAAACATTATAAACCTTGCGAGCCACAGCGGAGGATAGAAACAGAAGGAAAAGAATATGACCAATTTAAACGTAATGTTTGTGTAGTTTTCCATGTATTCTTCTGATTGGACGATGCAGTGCCAAACTTTGCTTAGACGACGCAAAATAAAGAGTCAAGAATAGTCACGCACTCACGTGATCTCTGCGTCAAAGGATGTTGATCAATGACTACGTATTGGATGTAACAAAAACTAAACATTGAATGGGAAAAGTGTGTGGATAGGTCACTACAACTTGATGGATGTGCTAGTTAATGTACATTAAGTTTAAGTAGTCTGTATAAAGCTGAATGACTCCAATAGCAGATACCCCAGAGTAAATTGTTGAATAAATACACTTTACGGTATCATTTAATATATAAATGAAAGCCGCTAATTTGATGATGACGCGGATTACATTAATATACTTAATATTATTTAGTACCGACTTAATAAATAGCAAATTATTATTGTGAAGCTATATTTTTCGACGTAACTTTCATGCATTAGCTGTCCGAATTTAAAGCTTATTGCAATTTATAGAGGGAGATCAAGCAGGTAAGCTTGGACTCTTCATCTTCCCTGTAATTTCAACCTGAAAGATGTCTGATTTTAACCCAGACGACCCAGTTTTATCTTATTTATTCGATCAAGCTAGGAATTAGTTTTATCTAGTAGAGATTTTTAGAATATTTTGTCAAGAAAATGCTTTGACCTCGCCTAAATTTAATTAGGGGAGGGGCTAGTTTTCTAATATAAAAGATTATTCACTCAATTCTATTTAACATATTGACTTTTACTCATCATATGTAGCCACCTTTAACGAAATATTGGATATTTTACAAGATCTACTGGTAATCTCAAAAGCCTACTTATAAGTGGAAATGTCAATAAAATTATTGCAAGAAAGTTTTATTTTTAAGAAAAGAACAGGATATAATAGAATGGGAACCAGAATGAATCCCATCAAATGATGGTTTCGCAATATCAGGGGTAAAATAGTGAAATAACACCAAGTAAAATGGTATCTTAATTGAATAGCATTGCTGTAATGAGGTCTGGAGCTAAGATTCACCAATAATTTAGATTTGGATGGCATGACATTTATTAAAGTAGCTAGTCAAGAAGCTCTTAGCAACTTTTGAAGAATGTACGGGTTCGGATTTAAGGTAATTTCAGGTCTAAGCTCTAATTAAACTAAAACGGTACGACAATAGGAAATATTAAAATCTAATATTTAAATAAGTCAGAGCAATGCAAATTAATTTTTAGTCCTGCTATGCAGCTTTCGGTTTGTTTCATGTTCATTCTGGAAAGTTTGTTTTCTTGTCCCTTATACTATCTCATCCATTATCTAAGCGTCTATTAATGAACGAAATAAATGTGCTAAATCAAAGCTGATGGCTTCATCATTCTAAATTGTCGGTTTAGCACGCTATTATCCGCAATCTTAATAAATTTCATTTTTGGTTAGTTTTTATGGCTTTAAAATGCGTTTGAGGTTTAGTTCCATGATATCAAATACACGATGATAGACCCAGCCAGCTAGCTCGAATAAATTAGGTACTAAACTAAGAGTAAGAATTAAATAAGCAAAAAAAACAAATATCTTTTAAACCAAAGTAAACATTTTTATTTGATTATTATTTCGAGACCCGCTATTTTCCTCAACTTATGTGCCTTTGGGAAGGCCAGACGATTTGCGCCATTTTCAGTCCACTACGTTTATGCTGTCCCTTCCATTTTCACAGCCTTCCTCCTGCCCTCTTACATTTCCCAATCTCATTTCATCGTTCACTATATTTGGACGTGTAGAAGAAGAGGATATAATTTCTTTATCGATAGCTGCAATCCAGGTTGAAACGTTTGATAATGAATCTGATCTTGAATCCGAACTTGAATATTTTGCCCAAAATCGTGACTCCCCTTGGTTAAGATGCCAAGATATACCTCTTCCAATTATAAATGAACATCATAATTGCAACTCGACCAAAATCCCTCGTCGTGATTCAGTTCTTCATACACCCGGCACTGAATTAGCTCACAGATACTTCAAAACTTTATTTAACAATGCAGATGAGCAGATCCAATTGGCAAGTAAAGGTTTACCCTCGCTTTTACCTCTCGAAACTGCACGGGCTGACTTAGTGGGCGTACCTGATTTACCATTAACTGTGAGTGTTGGTCACATCTGAGCCACTTAGCCACTAATCCGTTTTTATATTATAAGTTAGGATATTTTATCAAATAATTCACATTATTGGATTGAAAATCATTTTTTTGGGTCCTGAGTACGCTTTTATTTGTATTCTTTTCAGAAATATTTACTCAAACTTGTATATGTACTGCAGAAGTCCACCCTATTTCATCCCCGATTAGTACCGAAGTTATTTTAATGCTAGTTACTTTTAGTATTTGCTGATTCTAATCTTATTTTTTGCTTATTGCGGTTCCTAAATGTATGCATATCGTGAAAAAACATATTAATCAATAATTTTCACTCAATGTTATTAAAATATCTGGAAGGTCCTTCCTATCTTAATCTCCAAGCGAGAACATGCTACATAATACGAAATCATCGCCTCCATCAATTCTTGTTCTTCCGGCATTGCCATAAGGAGCTCTCTTTCTAGAATCGAAAGGTTTTTGGCTACTTAGATGTTTTGTCGTTTGGTTAAGGAAGTTGCTGATATTGTCTCGCTTCTTTACAATAAGCGTAATTTCAGCTTCCTTAACTTATCTTAAGTGACCTAGGGTGAGTACGTTCTTATTCACCAATTAAATATATTTTAATGAAGCAATTATTCCGAAAACGAGTTTTAGGTGGCCAATAGTGTAATGTAACGAGAAATGAGAAAGATTAGAGTATATCGTTGCATATATGACTTGTTTCATAAGGTATTGGAACTTTTAGGAACATTTTAACCTCTTTTTTAGGTTGTATGCATATTAATTACCTCGCGCTTATTGTTTTCATCACTCGAAGGCCACGCTTAGAACTTATTTCCACTTTACTTATTTTATATATTAGTTTTATCAGGAATGCGATATAATTTTTCAACAAAACCGCAATCCCTCCGTTTATTTCGTGCTAATTGTTTAGCCTATTTTGTGGGTGTTTTATCATGATGATGTTATTTGTTTCAAGTATTATATTAAATAAATGAGTCTGCTAGGCTATTTTATTCGTAGGAAACTTTCTGGCAGTCATGGCAGATTCCTGGACTGGTATTGCTATAACCTAATTTCAATTATACTTGTTCATGTTGACGCCACTTATTCTGATCTCTCCTTCTTAGTATGGCTTCTTTGTGAGTTCATTGACCATGCAAGATTTGTCACTTTAGAATGTTTCTCAGTGCATTATTTATATCCCTTCGTACTTCGGCATACTAGTCAGAAAAAAAGTTGTTTATTATTCAAGTACTATATAGTGTTGATTGGACCTCGTTTTCGCAACTTGTTAATCTACCAACTCATCGGTCTGATACTGGAAATCATGAATACTATGGCAGAGGATGCAGGTCTCATACTGCGACCAATTTGTGAAGGCGTGGCCAAACCAATACTATAAAGCAGCAGGAGACTGCGACGAAACAGACGGCCACATCGTCTTGGTCTTT